TGATAGTTCTTCCTTTCGAGGTGACTTCGTTACTCCAAGTGAACTTGTGAGTAACAATATACTGTGAGGGATGCGTACCAGACCACAAGAGTACCCTACGCAGAGCTCAGAGTTCGGCTAACAGCTACAAAGGTAGAAGTCTCCAAGGTCTCTTCAGTCAACGTCGAGTATGATTCTCCTTGATCCGATACGGGCCCCGCGAGCTACGTTATCAACAAAGATTCACTAGAGTTAGCGTATAGAATTCGACCGTCTTCGACGTAATAGTTCAGGTAGAGTTCGAAGTCACGATAGAGTAAAGTAATTCCAAAAGTATAGTCAAATAAAGTTGTAACTCGCGTATCAACGATTTATATTGTTAAGACTCTGATTTCGCCGATGATGGTTTGGCTAGTCAGTGAATGACACAGTATTTATATCCCTCGCTTATGTCTCGAGGACCCAGTCTACTAATAATACAGAATACACTCGGGGCATGCCCGAGACCCTGAAAAACAACCAAGAACATTTAACTCCTAAGTCCGTAACCCAAACTCCTAAATCCGCTGAAACCCCTCAACCTATTTATCCACTCTAATGCACGTTTCCCTGTCGATGTTTCTTCTCCATCGGCCGTCTGGTGGATAATCGTCAGCGTCGGCTATTCGGAGGTCTCGGACGGCAAGGCTACCTACTCAGCCCTCTTCCCACATCGCTTTCCCACATAGCAGAGTCCTCTCATGCCCACAGGTACCGCCGATAGGTACTCGGTCGGCTGGCAGCTTGCGCCGATTCGCTCCGAGCGGTCCGATCTTCGATCCGATTGATTCCAGCTGTCCCTCATATATCCACCGGTACCAAAACACTCCCCTCCGGCGGTTTGACGCTCCGGGGGTTATTATTGGGGTCGAAAACGTGTTTTTTATGACTCTGGGTTTTTTGGTCGCAATTTGGTCGCACCACACTCCGCGAGTGTGGTCAAGAGTTGATATTAGTGTACAGAGGGTATTGGGGTATCTACTAGCCTTTCTCTCACTCCCGTAAATGCTTGGCATGCCCGTAACACAAACCTGTCGAACCAAACCTATACTGTTTAGGTCAACAACAACAACAGAGAAAGATACCTAACTATATCATTTAAGGGTCTATTTGATGCGTAGAATCACCTCCCAGTGTCCGTTTATGCATATAATGCACGGTTGCTGAGCTGTAAGCTTAATAGATACAGTACCCGCAAATACTATGTGTTTCCACCAATCATAGCTGGGTCGTTTAGGGGAACAGCAACAGGCAAGGTTACCAGACTATATGATTTAAAGGCCTATTTAATGTGTAGAATCACCTCCCAGTGTCCGTTTGTACATACGATTCACGGTTGTTGAGCTATAAGCTTAAGAGATGCTGCAACCGCAAATATACATATTTTAAAAAACCATATCTGGATCGTTCAAAGCAACAACAATAGACAAGGGTATCAGATTATATGATTTAAGGGCCTATTTAATGTGTAGAATCACCTCCCAGTGTCCGTTTGTAAATACGATTCACGGTTGTTGAGTTATAAGCTTAAGGGATGCTGCAACGGTAGATATCCATATTCAGTAAATCATACCTGGTTCGTTCAAGGCAACAACTATAGGTAAGGATACCGAACTATATAATTTAAAAGCATATTTAATGCGTAGAATCACCTCCCAGTGTCTATTTGTACATACGATTCACGGCTTTTGAGCTATTGGCTTAAGAGATATGGTAAACGTTCAAAAAATAGTTCTAGCAACTAAAATCTTGCCACTTGATATGATAGATAAGAGTTATTAGAATGCTGTACCATCATTTCTAGACCTAAATTACATATAGAATTCATCCCCATTGTCCATTTCCAAGTGAAATATACGGTCGTAAAAATATAAGCAAATACATACGGCTAAACTAAACTACTTTTATATTCTCTTCTGTGCGATCGATACTGTTTATCAGCAAATTCTTTCTGTTCTTTAGTCAACCCGTCAGCATAGGCCTGAACCCAGCGTCTACTTCTATTGGCAAACCTCCTAATTGTCTTTAGACTTACTGATTCGAGTCCTTCCCAAATGGTTTCTTCCAGTTCCGAGAACGAGTAAGAGTGGTTTTCTCTAGTATACCTTTTTACTGCAGCCCAAAAGAACTTGATATTGAGTTCACAGTGGAATTTAGGATAGAAAATCACTTCATGTCCTCTCTTTGTAATTTCCAACTCCAGCAAAGATTTCTCACTTTTCAAATCGGTTTGAGCCTCTAAAATCCGAAGACAACAGCAATCTCTACCTTGTACACACTCGTCTGTCCTTCTTTGATCTCGTTTCTCCTCAGTCTCCCCTTCTCTTCCATCCTTTTTCTACTTATCCGACCCGCACTGCTTTAATAAATCGATCCTCTACAATCCTCTTTCTTGTAAAACCCGTTTCATGCCCCTTGGTGCGCTAATAAGACCAGATGAAATTGGGATTGTGGTATCCCAAAAACAGTCACCTATACGGAATAGCATTGATTGTACGTTTCCGGCATAATAGGTATCATGCATAATTGGTTGTTTTCCGCCAGGATTGAGATTCATTCGGCTTGCCACAAGAGGATCTGGTGCCTTACATGAATGTCCGCTTGAGTTATCAAATGCAAAAACTCCCATATGATTAGGGAAAGCCTTTTCAAATATAGGAATTGCCTTTTCCAAAACCTGCTTTACCATTTTATTTGAGTCCCACCAACCGTCATCATTTTTACCACTCCCGTATTTTATTATCTCGCATGCATACTGTCGGGACCCCAATTCGTGATCGTAGACGGACAATCGACCAGTAGCCTCAGTCAAAAATTCAGATATCATTATACCTTTCCCTCGTGACTTAGGTCTCAACCATTCTTGGCCCTTCGACTTCCAGGAATATAATTTGCCGTCATTTGCATTAAACGTTGACTCATCATGGGTAATAAGTATACGTCTTTTAGCACCACAAGGCAGATTTTTGTGTATCTCTCCATTGTCATCGTACTCCCGTAGCGTTATCGAAATATCCTGGAAATAATAAGCATGTATTTTCCCGGTCCACTATTAATTGAAAGACTTACTTTCCAACGAGGAATAAAAACGTTTGTTCTATAGTCCACTACATCCTCCCGTTCATGACCATCAATATATCCTTTTTTATTCCTACTGTAAATCCAACCTAACTTTGCGAGCCAACGTTGTGCTGTCCTAATACTGATTTTGGTTGTTTGAGTAAAGTTCGGATTATCGTTTAGAGCAGGAATAATAGACGGAGCTGTGAGGGATGCGTACCCGACCACAAGAGTACACTACGCAGAGCTCAGAGTTCGGCTAACAGCTACAAAGGTAGAAGTCTCCAAGGTCTCTTCAGTCAACGTCGAGTATGATTCTCCTTGATCCGATACGGGCCCCGCGAGCTACGTTATCAACAAAGATTCACTAGAGTTAGCGGATTATGTTCGACCGTTTTCGACGTAATAGTTCAGGTAGAGTTCGAAGTCACTATAAAGTAAAGTATTTCAAAAGTATAGTCAAAATAAAGTTGTAACTCGCGTATCAACGATTTATATTGTTAAGAATCTGATTTCGCCGATGATGGTTTGGCTAGTCAGTGAATGGCACAGTATTTATATCCCTCGCTTATGTCTCGAGGACCCAATCTACTAATAATACAGAATACACTCGGGGCATGCCCGAGACCCTGAAAAACAACCAAGAACATTTAACTCCTAAACCCGCTGAAACCCCTCAACCTATTTACCCATTCTAATGCACGTTTCCCTATCGATGTTTCTTTTCCATCGGCCGTCTGGTGGATAATCGTCAGCGTCGGCTATTCGGAGGTCTCGGATGGCAAGGCTACCTACTCAGGCCTCTTCCCACATCGCGTTCCCACATAGCAGAGTCCTCTCATGCCCACAGGTACCGCCGATAGGTACTCGGTCGGCTGGCAGCTTGCGCCGATTCACTCCGGGTGGTCCGATCTTCGATCCGATTGATTCCAGCTGTCCCTCATATATCCACCGGTCCAAAAGCACTCCCCTCCGGGGGTTTGATGCTCCGGGGATTATTATTGGGGTCGAAAACGTGTTTTTTAACTAGGAAAAACCGCAACTCCGCATTTGGTCGCATATTGATCGCACCGCACCTCGTGGGTGCGAACCGGAGTTGATAGTGGTATTACCATTAGTATTAGAGGGTATTGGGGTATCTACTAGCCTTTCTTCTTACTCCTGTAAATGCTTGGAATGCCCGTAACAGGAGCGTAATGATCATGGTTTAAAACAGCAGCTATCCCCATAATATTGGCTGCTTGACATGTGTATAATAATTGGTCAATCACCTCACAGATTCCTTGTGGTGTAGCTTTTGACATTGCGGTATTGAGATACTCTCGTATAACCAATATTACCTTAATATTTTAGTTATTAAAAGGTAGAATGAGATATCGGTTATTAAAACTTACACCTTCATCATGATATAAGGTTCTAACAGTCATGTATTGACCTCTTTGTATTTTAAGTGGTGGAATTCTAAATTCCTGCCAGTCACGGTGCCATCTGCGCAGTGTCTTTGCCCACTTATTGCCCTTTCCTTTTGCCGCTGATATAATTATGGAATTATCTACCCAATTGTGATCACGACCTTTTTTAAGCTCAACCTGAAGTAAGTTTATTAAAGCATCCACCCTGTTGTACCACTCGCCAGTGGGTTTATGTTTCTTCACCCAAACTTGTAGCTCCCGAATCTCATTTTCAATCCGGTCTTTTGATAACGCCATCTCAAAATCTGGTGGAGAAAAAAATGTTGTGCTAACCGGAAGCCTACTACTGGCAGATGAAGATTCCGGAGCAACAAAGAAGCGGGAGATAGACCCATATATCCCCTGCATATTCCTTCGCGTCTCTTCATTTTTCTTTTTGTGGTAGTGCATCAACTGCCTAGAGGGAGTGGCTGCAGGATTTGTGCCAGGAAGTTTGGACTCCGCTAAAGCCTAACCACCACCTGGTTGTCCTATTTGGAGAATATCTTCTTCAATATCGCTAAGGGCCGCAATCACATCATCTTCTTCAAAAGCCGATACTCCTACATCACAGGTAAGTACAATAGACTAATTACAAATGCACCCGGTACTGAAAGTCTTACCAGGAACTTCCCTAACTTCCTTCCGAATTCTTGACTGGACCCTGAATGCTGCCCCACCCGCAATCGAAGCAGTCCTTTTTTGCTGTTTATTTTTTGGAACTCGAGGCATGATTACTGACCAACAACTGAGTGTAGTAGGTGTAAATCTAAAGTAACCGATGAATCCTCCTCCTGAAAGCTCTCCAGCTGTGAGGGATGCGTACCAGACCACAAGAGTACACTACGCAGAGCTCAGAGTTCGGCTAACAGCTACAAAGGTAGAAGTCTCCAAGGTCTCTTCAGTCAACGTCGAGTATGATTCTCCTTGATCCGATACGGGCCCCGCGAGCTACGTTATCAACAAAGATTCACTAGAGTTAGCGTGTGATGTTCGACCGTCTTCGACGTAATAGTTCAGGTAGAGTTCGAAGTCACAATAGAATAAAGTATTTCCAAAAGTATGGTCAAATAAAGTTGTAACTCGCGTATCAACGATTTATATTGTTAAGACTCTGATTTCGCCGATGATGGTTTGGCTAGTCAGTGAATGACACAGTATTTATATCCCTCGCTTATGTCTCGAGGACCCAGTCTACTAATAATACAGAATACACTCGGGGCCTACCCGAGACCCTGAAAAACAACCAAGAACATTTAACTCCTAAGTCCGTAACCCAAACTCCTAAAGCCGCTAAAACCCCTCAACCTCTTTATCCACTCTAATGCACGTTTCCCTGTCGATGTTTCTTCTCCATCGGCCGTCTGGTGGATAATCGTCAGCGTCGGTTATTCGGAGGTCTCGGACGGCAAGGCTACCTACTCAGGCCTCTTCCCACATCGCTTTCCCACATAGCAGAGTCCTCTCATGCCCACAGGTACCGCCGATAGGTACTCGGTCGGCTGGCAGCTTGCGCCGATTCGCTCCGAGCGGTCCGATCTTCCATCCGATTGATTCCAGCTGTCCCTCATATATCCACCGGTACCAAAACACTCCCCTCCGGCGGTTTGACGCTCCGGGGGTTATTATTGGGGTCGAAAACGTGTTTTTTATGACTCTGGGTTTTTTAGTCGTAATTTGGTCGCACCACACTCCGCCAGTGTGGTCAAGAGTTGATATTAGCGTACAGAGGGTATTGGGGTATCTACTAGCCTTTCTCTCACTCCCGTAAATGCTTGGCATGCCCGTAACAGCTTACCCCCCTTCCAGGGTGTCACGTCTCGGGACATCTTCTGACAGACTATGGTTCCAGTAAACCTGCTCCACATATCACCCGCGGTGTCTGTGGAGGGGAAGGACTTAGCCCCGTAGGGTACCTCTATAGTCTCAGGCGTTGGTCCTTCACGGCCTTGGGGTTCCTTCGATGGAAGTCGCGGACAAGGTCAAGTACTTCCTCATTCATAGCGTCCATGACTTGATACGTACAGTCACTCATCGAATAGCCCCGCCATTTCACCAGGTATTCCACTAATCCTCTTCTGCTTTTCCGGCTCCCCACGATTCTTTCCACTTCGTACAGCACCTCTCCTTCCTTATCGACCTCTTCGGGAGTTGGGGGACGTTGTTCTCGGCCTGGGATACTGCTCTGTCGATACCGTTCCAAGAGTTCAATATGGAACACATTATGGATTTTGACTTGCGGTGGCAGTTCCAGTTCGCACGCTCGTTTACCGGCTAGTCGGACAATTTTGAACGGGCCGAGTTTCTTATGATCGAGTTTCTTGGTAGAGCGACGAGTCTTGATATTGGTCGCATTGAGCATAACCATATCTCCCACCTTGAAGTTAGGCGGTTCGTCCCTTTTCCGATCATAGTATTTCCCCATCTTCTCCCTGGTGTCAGTTAGGCGAGCGAGAGCATAGTCGTGAACTCCTCGGATGAAGTGAGCGTACAGGTCACTGGTTGGGTTGACCACTTCGGCTTCCGTCGGCCAGTTGGTTCTTGGGTTGTAACCGTAATTGGTATAGAAGGGAGATTGACCCGTGGCGGTGGTAACCGAGTTGTTGTAAGCATACTCCGCCAACGGGAGTAGCTCTGCCCAATCATCTTGTTCGTAGTTGCAGAACGCTCGTAAGTAATGCTCGAGGGTTTGGTTGACCCGCTCTGTTTGCCCATCGGTCTGAGGGTGGAAAGCCGTACTCATTCTTATTCTCACGTCCAATAATTCCATAAGGGATGCCCAAAAACTTGAAGTAAATTTGGCGTCCCTATCGGAGATTATATCAAGAGGCAGCCCATGGAGTCGCCAGATTTGACCGAGGAATATCTTCGCTAAATCCTGCGCGGTCGTTTCTGCTACTAAGGGGATGAAGTGCGACATCTTCGAGAACCTATCGACTACTACCCAGATTTGGTTATATCCCTTTGATTCCGGTAACTGCACGACGAAGTCCATTGATATTGATTGCCAGACAGAATGTGGCGTGGACAGTGGTAGAAGCGCACCGTATTTCTTATGGCGGCTGGGTTTGTTGCGCTGGCACTCGTCACATGACCGAACGTAGTCATCAATCCACTCGTTCATTTTTGGCCAATAGAAGTTACGCGTGATGAGTTCCAGTGTCTTGTCTTGTCCAAAGTGTCCTGCCACTTTCGAGTCGTGTTCTGCCTGTGCGATTCGGATCTTAATACGGTCGTCTGCCGGAATGTAGAGTCGGTTCTTATAGAAGAGTAGCCCGTCTTTCTCAGTGATATCCTTCATTTCCCCCAGCTTCTCTCCCTGCTCAACTCTCTCTTTCAATCCTACCCATGTCGGGTCTCCCGATGCCGCCTGCCTGACATGGTCCAGAAAGTTCTTAGACCAGTCAATCACTCCCTTGGAGGCAAGCGACACCGCTGATACCACAAACTCTTCCTCCGCCAACTGTCCGGGCTTAAAGAACCTGTCTATTGGCTGTTTCCCAAGCATGCCTCCCCCTTCAGGACGGTACTCCGGCCGTCGCGATAGTGCATCTGCCTTCCCATTTTTGGTTCCCGGGCGGTAAATAATCTTGAAGTCAAATTCCGCCAAAGACTCAGCCCACCTTGCCTGTCGTCGGTTAAGAACCTTGGTTGTTGAAAAATATTCCAAGTTCTTTGATCCGTATAGACGAGAACCGTTCGACTAGGTCCTTCGAGGTAGTGACGCCATTGCTTGAAGGCTGACACAATTCCTAGCATCTCCTTATCCCAGACGTCGTAGTTGAGTTCCGCTGGGTTAAGTTTTCGAGAATAAAAGGCAACAGGGTGAGTCTTTCCGTCAATAACCTGGGATAAAATTGCGGCGATAGCAAAATCACTTGCGTCCGTTTCCACGATAGTCTGGCGATCTGGAGAGAAGTGTACCAAGATCGGCGCAGACGTAAACAGGGTTTTGAGTTTTTCGAAGGCTGCTTGGGCCGTCATGGACCAGACAAAGTTCTTAGCATCACCCCTGAGACAATCGGTAATGAGTTTACAGACCCCGGAGAAATTGTGGATAAACCTTCTGTAGAAGTTGGCAAAGCCCATGAAGATCTGTACTTCCTTAACGCTGCGCGGGGCTTGCCAATTCGTAACAGACATGACCTTATCTAGTGCCATGGTGACGCCTGCTGGGGCAAGGATGTATCCAAGGAACTCGATTTCGGTGAGCTCGAAGAACGATTTCTTCGGGTTGGCGACTAGATTGTATTCTTGTAGCCTACTAAGGACTTTGCCGACCAACTCTCTGTGCTCTTCTCGAGACTTGCTATATATTAGGATGTCATCAAGGTATACTACTACACCTTGATCCAAGAATTCCCTCAGCGCGTCATTCATCATGTTCTGGAAGGTCGCCGGCGCATTTGCCAGCCCAAAAGGCATGACGAGGTACTCAAAATGCCCGTACCGCGTACGGAATGCTGTCTTCCACTCGTCGCCGTCTTTGATCCTGATGAGGTTGTAACCTTCCTTCAGGTCAATCTTCGAGAAGATAACCGCGCCTGCCACTCGATCTCGTAGTTCGTCCATAAGTGGTAACGGATACCTGTTCTTAATGGACACGCGGTTAAGTCCACGGTAGTCAACGCAAAGTCGTAGACTACCGTCCTTCTTCTTCACAAATAGGATTGGGGCTCCTGCCGGGGATTTGCTCGGCCTAATCTTTCCCAATCGCAACATTTTGTCCAGGTACTCCCGAAGCACCTTCAGCTCGACTTCGGATAGGGAGTAGACGGGTCCCCATGGTGGCTGTTTACCTGGTTCAAGATCTATCGCATGGTCGTAGGATCGATGCGGTGGTAGTTTGTCTGCTTCCGATGGTAGGAAGACTTTAAGGAACCCATGGAGCCAAGAGGGAAGAGTCTCGCGGAGGTTGACCGATTCATCTTCCAAAAGACAAATACTACCGATGAATTGGGCCTCCGGATCGTCCAATACACCCTCGTCCATCTCTATTTGAGGTTCCTTGTCAGTGAAGCATCGACTCTTGCAGTTCTCGCCATCGTAGGAAACTTCCCTATTTGCCCCTATGACCGGCTTGTGTTCTTTCAACCACCAGTTCGGTAATATTGCATCGATGCCAAGTGGGAGAGGGGCGATCTCGAATGACAACTGTGTTTGATGCCCCCTTGACATTATAATTAATGGTTGTGTAAAGGCGTGTCCCGTGCCCTTCATAACTTCTCCCGTAAATCCAAATACCCGGGCCGGGACGTCTCGTTTCACCTTCGGGACCTCAAAACTATCAACAAAAACAGCAGACAAAACAGGACCAGTTGCACCAGTATCCAACAACACCTTACAAGGTAAACATTTTTCCGCAAAACAAAGGAACTGATTAACGATAGGTCGAGGACCGTGAATAGGTTCCTCCAAAATTTTCTGTTTTTTCTCCGGATGGGACGCTCTCCCTTCCTGCCTTTTCCTTTTCATATTTTTTTTGTTGTTTTCCGTCAGTGATAACATAGCAATCTGGGGATACTCCTGACCTGACTCATCAGAGTCCCCTTTTAAAAATCCTCATCAAAATCCATCTCAGATTCCGATCCGCGTTCTCGCACAAACGCTTGCCCACTGGTGTACTCCGCAGCAGCCGTCGCAGCCGGCTTCTTAGCACGGTGCCTCATTCGCTTCCTTGGAGGTTGGGGTTCCGGTGGTTCCATGTCGTGGTCACCATCGTCATCACGGGT